CCTGTTTGACTTCAATAGGACCGCCCAAGCGAAAGCACAATTTTGCCTAATCCACTGAAAAAAATAGCTGTCCTATATTAAACCAATATACTACTGTCCTTTTTAAGTTGCTCTGCCAGTGGCTCTGTTGATATCACTGAGATAAGAATCCTTTATACCATGCACTACTGCCGAGTCACTTCATGAGGTGTTAAATAGTCTGAAGTAGACTTTTTTAAGTGGACAGTCTAAAGAGATTCCTTCTCAGGGGAGACGGAGCTATTGATAAACACACAAGCAGAATTTTCTAATGTTCTGTGCATTTATTTTGGCCACATGATCATCTTGAACATGGCTAAAACTACGGAAGACACCATAACTGTTATGGGACATCACATCTATTATGGTTCCAACTTAGTCTCCATTAGCAGCACCATTGATTTCAGTGGAATTTAGATCACACCCTTGGCTTTTGGGAATTACTTGGATCTTTCTGCAAAAAAGCCAGTATTGCTTGTAGTTCTCATAAAATGGTATTAGCTGTGTTTTGTTCCTGAAGCAAAAGTGAAGTGAGTAATTAATGTGATAGATAAAAGGTAATATAATCTGCTTGGTCTGCAGTTAGCAGTTTTCCATTGGTCCTATTGATTTTAGCATTTTTAATTCCCTCTTTTCTCATCTTCAGAGATTTAAAATCTTTACGGTGAATTGCTGTTCCTTATTACACAAATACTCCATGGCCACAGAAAAAAGCACCTGTGCTGTTGCTACAGTAAATTCAGAGCCTGTTTCTGTATTGTTTATGCACCCAAAACTCCCAGGATCTTCAGCACCGAGTTTGAGCTGAGCAAGGAATGCAGGATCAGGACCTATGTGACATTCAGGAATCTGTTGAAGACAGTAAATAATATTAATTTGGCTGCCATTTCAGAACTGTAGTAAATTTTCAGAACTCTGCCAAGATTGGTTCCTCCTACTTGCTCTCCCTGAGTATTTATCTAAATAATCTTTTTGGGAATGGAGACAGCATAAGGCTCCCAGCAACTAGTCTTTTTTTTTATTTTAGTTCATATCTCTAATGTACAAGTGTCAAAGTGCTAAATAGCTTGATTAACAGCCAAAGGGATTTTGTTTTTCATGGTTTCCAAAGATTTTGGTTTTGATGACCTTTTGCTTTGATGCGAGATGCATAAGCTCCATCAAAGCACTAACATTTGTTTTAAAAGAGACTAACTGAATCAGGCTCAGCTTCTGTCAAGCACGTGGCTTGCATTCAGCTTGTGTGCATGTGCTCACGCTCTCTCGCTCTTTCTCTCTCTCCTGTTGTTTCATCTGCCTTGCTCAGATTTTTCTTTCTGTGACACATGAACTTTATCAGTTATCAAAGTTACATGTCAAAAGTTTCTGCTTGAGAAGCAAGCATCTTTTAAGACATTTGAGATTTGCAAGATGTGCAGTTTATCTTGGAAGAGATGGTTGCTTGCATTGAAGTGAGCTAGAAAGCTGATTGTTTTGAAATGATTTACCTTTGATGATAACATTTTTGATTGCTCATCTGTCTTAATTCTTACAGATCTCCTGTTCCCCATTGACATCGCTATAGTCAAGCGAGAGCATGACTTTCTGGATAGAGATGCTATTGAGGCCTTATGCAGGTAGGTGAAAAAACAGTTTATGTTTCAAAATAGAGCACTTTAACATGGAGCTATGAGCAACCTCATCTGAATTGTGTTAGTTAACCATTCATTTGAGACCTTTTTATTATCTAGCCTGGGCAATAGATATTTATGTTTATAAAATCAACTAAAACATGTTTGGAAACTGTAACAAAAACTTCACAAGAACTACTAGTAGACCATCTCTGTGGCCATATGAATTTTGCTTGTTCTGTTTACTTTCACTACTTCTTCAGGAATTATTAAGACATAGTAGAATCAGAACTACACTGACTAAAGCTATTTTAACAGAGCTGTAGCCTGGGTTCCTTCAAAGAAATTATTTTTTTTTAACTCAGTTAGCCAAGCCAAGTAGTTACTCTCTTACAGTTACCTACACAAGTAATATTTTTGACATCAGTGGGACAACTCATGCCAGTAATTAATCATCAATATGAATGAAGCATTAAGGTTTCCCTGTTGTAAAATAGGTTTCTGTGCTGCTACACGGAATATAGTTCCATCCTACAATGCAAGATTCCCCACCCTGGCAAGGACCAAACAAACCTTAACCCTCCCCACCTTATCTTTCATATCTTCTAGCTAGATATGAGTAAATCCAATATTTTTTTTACCTTTCCCTTCACTGTGGAGGTTCCACATTACTATCCAAATAACAGCTCCTATGATTCCACATGTGCAATGTCAGCAGCCTTCAGAGAATTAAAATCATATCCTGAAGAAGTTTGTAATTTTGTAGCAGTTCTTATTATACCACTGATGAATTTTGATGAGAAAAGCAGAGGGTAGTCACAGAATATTAGGTAGTCTAGAACTTTCTAAACCAATGGTCTCTAATCTGTGGTTTGCAGGATATATGCTGTCCACTGTACTTTTTAACATTGCTCCCAACCAGTAAAAATGAAAATTGAGGTTGACAGCAAAGGGTGTTGTTTGCCCGGTAGTATCGCTCATGGGCCAGTGAAGGTTTTAAAGTTGAAGTGCAAGAAAGGAAAGATAAACTCCTTTCATATTATCATATTTTATCCCTGGGCATAAAAATAAATCATATTAATTAATGCATCATGTTCATGATCCTGTATTGCACTCAAAACACAAAGTAAAACTTGATGCATCTGATTGCCCATTTGTATGCTCTGGAATCTATAGAGTTATTAAACAGAATGCACAGCAAAAATGTTGGGTTCCCAGAAGCGTAGTCTTTCCTTGTCAGGATTTAACCAAATATAGTCAAGCCAGTGTATTTTGGATTCATTACCCTCCTGCCTTAGCATTACTTTAACTTAGATTTTTAATTCCGGAAAGTGGCCGAGTGTCTGTTACTGAATGAAGGCAAAAATATTTCCTATATTATGTTATGGTATTCCCTTTTAATGGGACCCCTAAAGTAAAATACCACTTTTACACTGTCATCAGCCTTGAGGAAAATTTACGTGTCTTTTGGGAATGGAATCTGACCACACAGTCTTATGATCAAAGTAAGTCAGTCAAGAAGGTGTAGAGTTTTTGTGAAAGTAGTAAGGGTTCTAGATGTCTGGCTATTGTTAAATAGCCTAATCGTTTTAGGGTCAAGTTGGAACATACAAAGCAATTTGCACATTAGTGTAGGGTATTCCATTTTATATAAGGACCAAGACTCTAATATGCTGTTTTGAAGTCCTTGTAGTTAATCAGGCAGTATTGTACTAATGAAGAACACTTTGATTTAATTTTAAACTTTTGAGGGTATCTTCAGCTCTCATCTCAAAATGAAATCAGAACAACTCCAGGGGCCAACTCTGAGACCCAAATTTAGCCTGAGATCCTGTTGCTCCATATCATGGGATCAGTAAATTATTTTTTGCTTTTGGATCTCTTTGCATTCTCTTGGTTAAATTTTTAAAAGCTAATTAAGTAAATTTAGCTAGACTACCCCTATGTAATGCCATTTGTAATAAATTAGTTTTGCTGTTTCTTCCTGTTTCTTTCGTTTATTTTGACTGATGTTACAGATACTCTTTACACTTATAATGATTATTTTGGAAAGGGCTCACAGTTGCTGTCACTAAGTCTTGGCTGAAAACTTGCTAGTTGGGAATTCTTTTGCATTTTCAGCAGAGTGCTCTCTTAACACCCTGATGTATTTGGTGGTAACAAAGTAATGAGAACTCAGTGTGATTTCCTTGCCCTCTGATAAGAATATACTTTGTCATGTCAATTAGTGCCCTACTGCAACCCTGTTTGCCTTTTTTCAACATGTTGCAATTTAGAGACAAAAGACATGAAATTGAAAATTGATCAGAATGCTTGATTGATTTTGTTTTAAAACATCTGCAGCATTTCAGAAATCTTGCCTAGAAAATGTATACACAATCTAATAAACATTGATCTATAATGCAAGAAAAACAGTGAAATGTCATGGCAGACCAGTTGTGGAAATGTGATTAGCCTGTTAATTACTGGGGATACTGACTGCATAATGTTCAGATGAAACTAGGTCATGAAGCGCAGTAATCTGAAAGACTGTTGTTAATGAAGTACAAATTTCATAGCAGACTACTACATTTTATGCATTTCTGAACAACCACTACACTCAGGCAGGGCAGGCCAAACATCCTAATGCTTCCATCTCAGTGTTTCACAATCTTTTGATACCTGGGGCACACTTTTTTTCTGAATTCTAAATTGGTGACATACCACTCATTGGTCCAGTTCATGGGCCCCATCTCACTTTGCTGAGTTGGCCCAACCAGGACCCCATCCAGCCCATTTTTCACAGCACACTGTTACCACCATGGCTCACCCTTTGGGAATCACTCTTCTAGCCATAAGCCAAAATCTTTACACAGCTAATATCTGCAGGGCATAAAACTTCTGAGATGCACATGCATCAGCATAAATGATCTGTGCATAGCACCGCAGCACAAATAAAAAAATTGTCATTAAGGGCTCCTTTAGATGTGTGGGCAGCCTGCTTCAATGGACTGGAAATCCAGCATGTCGGAGCACAGAAATTGATGTGCTCCAGCAGTTTTTTGTGTCGTATATCAGCGTCCCTGTGCTGAAAAAATGGTAGCGGGACACTTTGAAATAAAACATATTCAATGAGGTTTAGTTTAAAGCACCCCACCGCCATTTTGTCAGCACGGGGACATGATGTGCAGGTGCTTTTAATTAGTGTGGCTTGCTAATTAAAGCTCCTGGCACTGCATTCCAGGGCACATGTAAAAATGCCCTAAGTGACTATTTAATAAGCATGAACTAAAGAAAACCAAACATAAAAAATAAATAAAAATGTTTTCTTTGTAGTATTTAACAACTTTTCTTCATGATCTGCATTTTAAACAGCCTAGGAGCTATATGCAGCTCCTGACCCAAGGTTTGCCATAGGCATAGCTGGACAAGAGAGATGGATTGGTTACTTAATCTTTTAGCCTAGTTCACTATAGCACATCAGCTTAAGTAGAGTTTTCTGCTCTTATGAGATTTCGGTTTGGAGTGAGCCTGCCTCCACTGCAAGCTGAAACATGACCCAGTAAATGACAGACAGTTAGTAAATACACCCTTGAAGCTGGCAGAGATTCATCATTGAGGTATGGGCATCAAGCACAAAAATCCTGTTAAGCATGCAATATTAATGGCCAGGAACCACTAAGTTAATATAGAAGAGTGGGCCCTATTTTGCCCTTATTTACACCATTCACAGGTATAACTGGCAGCAGAGTTTGCCCTAATAGCAAGGAGCTAGCAAAGGGCTGGGCTTTCAGTTCCCTTGGGTAGCTTCCAAAATCTCCGCTCAGATTTTAAAATTAAATCTGAAATTAAATTGTAGCATTATTCAAAATGAGATTTTTATTTTAAAGAAGACCTATCTAACGCACTAGGTTGTCAACACTTTTTTTTTTCTTTCTGTGTCTGGCCAAATTTTAAAGCCAGGGAGAGTAATCACATTTTGCAGTAGAGACTTGCTAAAGCTCTACAGGTAAAACTCCAAGCAGACAGCCTAGGGTTGGACAGGACTTTCCCTA